AATTTCCGAGTGGGAGGTGGCAATTGCTGGAGGGTTTACGACCTCTTTGTTCTCTAAGCATGGTAATTTGCAAATGGACTTAAATCTAAATTATTAACGATTCTCAGGGCCCTAATATATATTGCCTATGTACCACCATATAATATGCACGCTTGTTTCGATCATAAGAAGGCGAATTCATAGATACTAAACAAGGTAAGATTACATATAGTGAAAAGGGATGATCGGGAATGGGTTCCCTCACAAGCATACTAAAATAGTCTACAAATATCAAAGACAAAATACACAATGACAATAATATACCCAATGGCCTGAAGAATATGTGTGTTCATTCAAATAACGGTTTTCCTATGAATTAACTAGAACACAGTCCATTTCTACTCTGCCTTTCCTTGGGACATGCAGGGATTTTCCCTGCTTTACATACTTTTGGCCAATAAACCCAGTGATATCAGTGTTGGTTGCCATGCAACAAAGAGGCCTGTTCGACTTCCTGGGGTGTTACGCATTCCGGGGGGAAGGGTTCATGTGTCCTCGTATGGCTTGTTAACTGAGGTTACAGAGTATTTGTTAAATATAAAAACAAAATATATAGTGTGTTTGATTGGTCCAGACGCTACAAAGTATATTCAAATAGAAAACCATTATTTTTAAATTGCAATAATATTACAGCTTTTTCTGTATTTCTGATCAAATAAATGCAAAAAAAACGTACTGATCCCAAACTTTTCTATTTATTTATCTATCTATATAAATTATCACTGATATTAAAACCACTACATTATAATCTGTAATATACAAATAAATGATGTCTATATTACCCTGAGTCTGCTGGAAACTGGAAGAGAGCAGGTCTTGATTTCGACTGACTTTTCTCTTGACTTTGATTCTTGCCAGGGCAGCTTGTAGTCTGGAGCGATGCTTCAACATCATCGTCTTCCAGGCGCCTCCACATTTCACCCTGTGACCAATGAGCAGGTCATACACCAGCACCTGGGTTACACACAATGACAAATCTATGACGCACCGGAAACTGGGTTTTACAGGTGAGGATAACATCCCAGTTGTCTACCTTAGCCAAATGAATCCGAAGTTTTGTTTCTTTCAGTAGCTTGGTGCTGTCGATGATCTCCCGCAGAACTGATGAGTATTTCTGTGTCTCACACACAAGTGCAAAGAGCTGCTTGATATTCTGATGAACAAACAAAAACAATGTTTTCTTAAAAGGGTGAAATGAGCGAGAAGTCTGTCATAAACGTGACGTAATTTCCCCCAATCAACTGTCCCACATAATATAGAGAATATTATTGTGATAAACGCCATTCCCACAGGTTTATTGATGTTAATGAGAAGCCATATGTTGTCCCTTAACATTTGTAGAATTGAACCCGTTCTCAATTTAAATGGGGAGGACATTAACAGTAAAAAATGCACAAATAAATGTATTAGAAATTCTGTATCTATATCTATTAAGCCTAGAGGGAAATTTTTCTGGAACATTTGGCCATATCACTTGTAAAACAGAATATTTTACTGTACGCACCTTAAGCTGGAATTCTATTAAATTAAGCCATATTTGTTATGTAAACACCCAGTTACACCTTATGTGACTTAATTATAGATGCCTGAGGTACAAATATATCAGCACTTACTTGAAATTTACTCTCATTAACCAGAGTTTTCACTGCACCCTTTTTCAGCTCCGCTTTCTCAAGAGTCTCTGCCGCTTTTATATAAAGTGCCATGATTAAAATGATACAGTAAGCTGAACACACGTTACTTCAAACACGTGCATAGATCTCTTAATCTTCTGGAGCAAATGCACTACCCACGTTTTTCATATTTGCCTGGTTATTTTTTTTTTTTCGCAACATTTTTCGACAGTATGGAACGTTTTACGATAACTGCAGTACTAATAAATGTCCACTTGGGTGAGCCAAAGACATTTTTTTTTATAACTAATGTGATTCATAAATTTGATTGGTAAGATATAAAGATAAGATATTCTAGAAACGGTCTCCATGCAGGTTTTCCTGTTTGTTTAATTTAGATTTTAACATCTCCACCCAAACACATTCGAGTTGATAATTACAAAACTGACCATCTCTTATGCATCTTATGCATTCAAGTTTGCATATGTGTTTTGTATGATATTTAATACATCAGTTTTTATGGCCCATATAGTACGATCCAGTGAGAATATGGAGCTTATACTTGAGGAGGAAAAACCCCAGAGGTCAAAAACTAAGCAAAAAGATTCAATTTGGTGCATATATCAGATGTTACTAAGTTTTATGATCAAAGCTCTGTAGTTTTAGATTATTCTTACGTTTACTTTATAAAAAATCATTAAGGATTTTACAGCAAAAACCAGGTGGATATGTCTAGAATTATATACTAAAAATAATTTTACTTACTAAAAGTATGAATTTATCAGAAGACAGAAAGCATGTAGTAGCCTAGATTGCGTGCACCAGGTTTTTCATCAAAGTTTTGATCATGTTGATAATTTAAAGGCCTTACAAATTCATGTATCAAATATGATACAGTTAGGGTTGCCAACTTCAGAAAATGAAAATACGGGAAAATCACCTCTTGGAGGGGGGAGGTTGGGAGGTTGGGGGGGGGGTGACCGTGTATAGTATACACACACATATATAGTATTTTTTGATTAAAGACAGCTTATAGATTTAATATGGGCTGCTTTTGGTGCTTGACACCTGTTTATTGGTAATTTTGTGTTTCAAGAATAAGGTCCAAGGTAAATAATAATAATAATAATTCATTACATTTATATAGCGCTTTTCTAGGCACTCAAAGCGCTTTACATTGTCAGGGGGTATCTCCTCATCCACCGCCAGTGTGCAGCATCCACCTGGATGATGCGACGGCAGCCATAGTGCACCAGAACACCCACCACACACCAGCTTACTGGTGGAGAGGAGACAGAGTGATGAAGCCAATCAGTAGATATGGGGACTGTTAGGAGGCCATGATGATCAGAGGCCAATGGGCAAATTTGGCCAGGATGCCGAGGTCACACCTCTACTCTTTTCGAAAGACATCCTGGGATTTTTAATGACCACAGAGAGTCAGGACCTCGGTTTAACGTCTCATCCGAATGAAGGTGCTTGTTGACAGTATAGTGTCCCCGTCACTATACTGGGGTGTCAGGACCCACACAGACCACAGGGTGAGCACCCCCTGCTGGCCTCACTAACACCTCTTCCAGCAGCAACCTAGTTTTCCCAGGAGGTCTCTCTCCCATCCAGGTACTGACCAAGCTCAGCCCTGCTTAGCTTCAGTGGGTAACCAGTCTTGGGCTACAGGGTGATATGGCTGCCAGAATCATGCTATAAGAATTATAAGAATTATAAGAAATATAAGAAGAATTATGCTATTAGTTACTTAAATATAAAATGTTTTTCTCTATTTAGCTTATTGTATTTCTCTATTTAGCTTATTTAACAACATTACAATAGTGAAAGACAACTTCCCTTACTGATCACGTCTCTTGCGCAGTGGGATGTTGGACTCATGAAAAATAATCACGTAGTTTGTATTCACCAAAACTGATTTCCTGTAGTGAAAACACGGACGGAATTGGCGTCAATATATTCCCATTTGTTAAAAATCACAGAAATACCACTTACATGGCTTTAAAAACCTGAAGGGAAAAATTTGCCATTTATGTAAAATTAATTACCTTATAATCCATCATTCTGGATTCATAATGGGTCATAATGGATCTAAAAAGTACGCAATGTGACTCACTTTTATGTGGACATTGCATGAGAACATTGTAGTGCAAGGTGATTTTGAAGGTCTGGTGGATGCAAACTCAGGTCAATGTCAATGTACAGGTCAATGTAAAATGAGTTTGTTACCCTGAAGCTACGGCTAAACTATTATGTGTAGATTAAGGTAAATTGAGTTCACGCATGCTTGCACCTCTGGCTAATATAAACCTGTCTATGAATAGGTTAGATGAGTTTTTTCCATTCCACACGACTCATTGTAGCTGTACCACAATAACTAGGACATTGTTGAGTAATCCTAGAGAACTTGTGTATTTCTCTAGGGGTTTAAGAGACGATTTTAACATTCTTATGATCTCAGGTTATAAAGGTGTTGGGTGATAACCAGCATTCCTTAAGCTTGGAGAACCGTGTCAAATACAGTTCCCAGGCTTTATGAGCTGAAAGTTGAGAAGTTTGTAACTTCTGGCACTATATTAGATGCAGAGAAGTTGAAACGGTGGATAAACAGTGCTTTATGGGTGTCACCAATCCCCTTTAGCTTATAAACAGGTACATGTGTCATAGGACTAGATTGGCCAATTGACTCTATGCCACTTTGTGTGTTCCAGGCTCAGGAAATGATGTCATTAGTCTCCTCCCACCCCTCACCTGAACAGAGGGGTAGGACCAGACTGAAGCTGTCTGTACAGACAGGAAAAAATAACAAGGAACCGTTCACAACCTGTTTGTCTTTGACAGAAAACCTTTTCATGTGAAAGCGAGAATACAGATTGCACAGGATTTTATTAAACAGCTCGAAAAATGGACGTCCCAGAAAATTCCCCAGGGATTATGGGACTTCTGAAAACTTTTGACGCTTCAGAGTTTGGGAGTTGGGAAAAGATTGGCTCCGGCGGCTTCGGACAGGTGTACAAAGTACGACATATTCAGTGGAAAACATGGTTGGCGATCAAGTGCCCTCCTAGCCTTCATTCAGATGACAAGTAAGTTAATTTTTCTTAGGCTCGTCTCAGAATTCTCTGATGAATAGAAAGAACAGCATTTATTTGGAAAAAAAAGTCTTGTCACTTTTTAAATGATTTAATGTATCATTGTATTCATTTCTTTGAGGAAAAAAAAGAACATCTAACTGACCATACACTTTTGAATGGTAGAGTGTGTATGTATTTACATCTATAAATTCACCCTCATATTTTAATTATGAACAACTACATAACCGTATATTATTTTTTCCATTATTGAAAGTCTGTTAAATTACTTCTTATGTTCCAGAGTTGTGCAAGTCTCCTGTGGATGATGCTGAGGTCTTGAGTCACTAGTCAACCCATTAACAAGCACACATTTATGTGATATATAGTTTAAAACTGGTTCTTTCTGAAACCGTCTGCATGAAAACAGTAATATTTAGACTACTTATTGTGATAATTGTTTTGGTTTAGACATTATGAATTGCACTCTAGTAGTATGACATGATATATAATCTAATGTGATATATGATTTTCTTTGACCATAAATGTTTCAGTAGCCTTGGATGAGCATGAATACAGGTGCATGTATTCTTTTCCCAGGCTAATTGTATTGTTATGCATGTCTTCATCTGGCCCTATAATGTAGAATAGGCACTATAGATGTGTAGCATTTTGATATGTAATGGGAATTACTTTGACAAAGGGATACGTCAACAGGTCGTTAATGCTGAAAGATTTGATCAAGCATGGCTATCAGGGTCGCATCAAGTGTGACATACAACTGTAATCTAGCTAGTCTTCCTGCAAAACTTGCTTTTGAACTCTTCATGCAGATGTCACTTTGCGTCACCAAGCTTGAGGAGGAAAAAACAAAAGAATCTGATAGAAATCCAGTGAATGTTGTTCTATGTGACCCTCACCACCATGGGAGGTTTATCAGCACCTAAGATCTGAAGGTACAAGAATTCTAATTTGCCTCCCCCATCTAAACAGGGTGCAGACTTAAAAGCAGGCTTTGTCCTCCTGTGCTCCCATCAGGCCTCCGCTTTTGCAGAGTTGCCGAACCGGTCGAACTGGATCAGTCCCCTTTTTATTTTTTTTTTTAGAAAAGAACGGCTTTTGTTGAGCTCAAAAGGGTGGCAGAACAGAACAGAGTCCTCCGAACTCCCTGTTAATCTTCCCACTCCTTACCTCCCTCTTGTCCAGCCTTGTGGAAATTGCTGCACTGTTTCTTTCCAAACTCTATCAGGAATTATGCTTTCCCTCAGCCTTCTTAAAACTGATTTATATAAACACTATGTGCTTTTTGTTTGTTTAGTTATGCTTTCCCTCAGCCATTTTAAAGCAAATGTTTTTTTGTAGAAAATATCAACACTAAGTGTATTTTTAAATTGATTTTCTATGCGAACATTAAGTGTATTAATGTTATTATTTACTCATTTATTGTTTATTTTATTTTATTGTATTTTCTAGGAGTAATGCTTTGCCACAACCTTCTTAAAATTTAGGATTTTCTTTCAGTCGAAAATATCAACATTATTATTATTATTGTTTATTTTTTAAATACATTTGAAGGCATTTTTTATTTATTAATTAGAAGTTTTGCTTTCCCTGTGTATTTTTAATTGATTTTATATGTGAACAGTAAATATATTAAAATGAAATTAGTTATCATTTACCGTTTTTTTTATTTTTGAATACATTTTATTTACATTTACATTATTTATTAGGAGTTAGGCTTTCCCTCAGCTTTATTAAAACTAGATTTCTTTTAGTAGAAAATATCAACATAAAGGATATTGAAATGCATTTATTTATTTATATTCTTGAAAATATTAGAATTTATTTATTGATTTATTTAGAGCATGCTAAAATTGTTGGAGAACAACGTGGCCACAAAGTGTCGAAGTCATGAGTAATAAAATAATCACTATACTAAAAAAAGTGATAAAGCAGACTTTTTGACATTGAATGTTTTTTGTTTAATATTTCTGGTTGATTTCTTGAGTTACATTGAGAGACCTTTTGGCCTTTTCTTGGTGCTGTTTAACTAAACAAACAGATCGTAAACTCTTTAAAGTGTCCTTTGTAAGTCCATTTTAAAATTGTGACCTGCATGTCTGACTTGT